GTATGATTCTTTAATGATATAAGAATTATACCTTCCTCTTTGACACTGCTTCTTAAAGTCTCTAGATAGCTGTGTCCCTGTTATAGTTAGTGTATAAGAAGGCTTAGGATACACTTTCTGTAACAATGTATTTCAATAGAATATACTCTTGCAATTAATATAACACAATAAATAAGTATTTATTGACGTAGTCAAATTAATTAAAAATTGGGTCCCAATATATAATTATTTTTAATTTGGGTTTCTATTTGTAATTATTTTAATTTTTTGGATCCTTATTTGTAAATTCCCCAAAATTTTTCTATATCGATATATAATTTTTCATTTGGCTGCGCCATGCATTATTAAGTAGTTTTTAATTAATAACTCTGCCAATTAATTATTAACATTAATTTGTGATCTGTATACAAATCAGTAAAAATTATTAAGATCACGTGGGGAGAAATTTCACGAATTAATAAGAAAAAGCTAGTAATTGGTCTTTTTTAGCAATTAAGTAACATTAGAAGAACACAACTTTTGTTGTTATATTACACAACAGAAACTGTGATATAATGCCAAAAAATTCTTTTTTTAACTTGCTTATTATATTTTATTGTGAGTTTTACTAGTTATTGAGCTCTAAAGCTAGATTTCTGGCAAAAAAACTATATACAAAATTATAATTTTAAAATATTACATTTTAAAATTTCATTATTTTAGTTAATTTGATTTCCTTGTCACGGCCTCTTGCTTGTGTTCTTACATATAACGACCAATCCAATTTTGAATCGTGGCAACTTTAGGTACTTCTTGTACTTTAATTTCACCTTCTTGTGCATGTTGAACAAATTCATCATGCATATCTTGTGCCGTATATCTATCGTTTTTATTTATATTTCCTGCTAAGAAATACCCTTCTAATAGGGCTCTAATTTCAGATGATATTCGCTTTCCTGTACCTTTTCATCCAAACTTTTGATTTGCCTTAAGAGCCCAACCTGAATTTAGAGGAAACTTGTCCACTTCGAAAATATGACGATTCTCTTTGTTAGATATACTATTTGTTTGGTTATGAGCTATAGAAAACAATAATTCAATTATTTATTATGTTCAAAACTATGTTGACAACGATATACCTATTTTTGCCTTCTTCGTATCTTCCACCAATTGGTTTTCTAGTAAATTTATCAATTGATCTTTATTTTCTTTATTATTGAACCTAAAGTTTCATTTTTCTAATTCTTTCACTAGACTTTCTCTTGTAAGATGACTCGGAATAAGACCTTGACAATAAAAAAGCCTAGTTATTACTGAATATAATAAATTTGAACAGTATTAAAGACATATGTGATAAATTCGGCATTAGCATTTCCTATTTTGATAAAGGTGTAGTATGTGTTGATACTTGTGGTATAGGCTTATTAATGTCTTTTTTGCGAAATTTATCTAATTTTGCTATAGTAAAAATTTTCCATTCACCTATACCAGGAATATCCCGTGCTTTAATACATCTAGAAAATTCGCCTGTTATTGGCCATTGCCACTTAAACCAGTTAGAATTTCCAGGTAATGTATTATTACCACTACCTCTGTCCTGAATAGAATTCAGATTTGCAACAGAAGTCCCTTTAATTCCTTTGATCACATTCTCAATATCCTGTTCTACTGTTACATCAAAGCCTAAACGAATATATCGATTGATTGCATGTAATATCTGATTCATTGTAATAAAAAAAATAAAATAAAAGTCAATATATGAGTGTAGGTAATATGAATAATTTACTAGCAGTTATTATATCTGTGCATGATGAGAATCGATTGTAGTTTTTACTTCTCCTGCTTCCAAAAAGATCCATCTGCTTACATTAATTCTATACTATTTCGGTCAATATCCCATTATTATCATTAGATCAGCATTATAGTAATGATCCCATTATCTAACATTATTATCACTGATTCAGGGTTTGGATCTAATATTTCAATTACTGCATGAAGTGAAGATGCTGTGAACCACGAATCTTGACGTGAATTCATGGACCAATGATCAAATGCTTGAATTCGTAATTTTGTTGAGTTGAATTGTATAGTATATACAAGGACTGAGTGAAGAGACCAGCCTTTTTTGCCAAACCAATCTTGTTTAGTTTCACATGCTGTTTTAGGTAGTATTTTCATTTTGTAGTCGACTAGTATTAAAGCAGTTTTTTTATTCAGATTTAACAAATTTGCATTTAATTGAACATTTAAATACGCCTTTCTTGTCTGATGAGCCAAGTAATAGAGCAAATGATCATACAGATCATCCAACTCTTCGTAAATTAAAACACTAATATTATTATGTAATATATCAAAAAATTGAAAAAAAGTATAACAGTTATTTCAAGTTTAAGTATGGGGTTTGTCACACTGTCTGAATACATATAAAAGATAATGATTAATGCAAGTATCATGGAATATCGTTCCTTGTGAAGTAATATGGAAATATTGTTCATAATCCTGTTTGAGAAAACGCTTCAATTTTTCACATTCTAACAATAATTGTCTCTGTAATAACAAATATGGTATGTATTAGCTATTATCTATGATGTAATATTTATTTTAATACTCAATCATTATAATTTCCCAGTTACAAATAATCATATGAAAAATTATAATAAAGATAGGCATGAATTCATACAGGAAATTCCTGGTCGAAATGCATTGAAATCCTAGTTGGCAGGGCCAGAAATGATCAAATTTGTCTAGGATCACTAAATTTTTACTAATGAAATCGTAGCCGTTCATTAAGTGAAAAGTGCGCAGCTAATAATTTTGTCATAAAATCTACAAACTACTAGGGCTAAATGCTGACCTAAATCTGACCAGGAATTTTTGGGATTGTTCTGTAAAAATTAGTAGGCATAAACAACGTGAGTTAGGGATATTGATAGCATCTTGGAACATCGACATCTCCAGGTTTCGATATTGGCCAATCAGGATCCCACACTATATAAGTTGAATTTCTATGCCTAATTATATAATGCAGATAACCCTTTGGGCTATCTGTATTCTATAATCATCGGGAATCTCACTGTAATTTTTTCCCAGAAAATTAATAATACTATCAGACTTAATTACCTGAATTACATTTTCTACTACATGTTTTTGAATTAGTGAGATAATATCTGAAAATATTTCATAACTATATTGTGAACGCATATGGCATAATTCACTCAAATCTTCTCAAAATATGTATTTATTTCCCTCCAACCTAGTGTAAAAACTAGTATGGCGCATTCCATTCAGGTATTCTTCATGAAATTTGTTCCACAGTATATCTTTTGAATTTTTCAGGTAATATACTGGTTCATTTGTAATAGGATCAGTTTTATATAAGCTCATTATGACATTAGCTTTGTCTACATTATACGATCTTGTATTTGTTACTTCAGCTCCCTTATACTCCTCTATGAATACTTTTTGGAATTCTTTTCATAATTCTTTGGAAATTAATAAATACAGCATAGATGGGCATCGACGGGTATTATCTATAATTGCTAATGATTTTAACTATGAAGTTATTAAAAAAAACTTAGGCGTAAGTAGTCTGTTTGAACTTATTACTACCATACCAATTTCTACTTCTCTTTTTAAGCTTACTATTTTTTTTAGGTTTTGAATGATTTAATTTGTGTTGTACGAAAGCATGCACGTATTTATAGGCCTGGAGGATTAGTTACTAACAAACCTGTAATTAGACATGAAAAAAATGTTGTTAGAAAAAAATGCACAATTACAATCTTTTTTAATGGACAAAGCTAATGTCATAATG